TGAAATCTTCAGCTGGTTTCTTCTTGAGCTGCTGTGGATTTGGGGAGCATTTTTACATCTTAGAGCTGCATCCCGGCTGAGAGTCTTGGACCTCAGAGCTTGCTGGCGATCCAGCCACCAGATCAGCTGTGTTAAAAGGGTCCTTAACAAGAAGAGTGAAAAAAAAAAAAAAAACCTCAGTGGAGAGTTGGCATTTCAGCTCATAGTGGGGTTAACAAAACATGTGCTTTTTGTTTGGTTTTGCTCTGGAGTGGTGACGGAGATTTTTTGGGGCTGCAATGACACCCTAAAACCTCATTCCTCTGCCTGATTTTGCCATTTGTGGTGTTGGCCAGGACAAAATTTGCTTTGTATTTCCAAACCACAGAAAAAGTGGTCACTGTCATTTCTGATGCTGGTGTGGCACCTGCCACAAAGGTGGTTTTGCCTGGGTCTCCCAGGCACTGCAGGAGCATGAATAATACTGTATATGTGTATGTTAATTAGTCTTACACTGCTGTCTGCCAGGTGGAAAGGGCACCCCTGAGCTCAGGGAGCACCCGGCTTTGCTGGGGCAGGCTGTTTGCCCTCCTGAATTGGGTCTTGGGGTCTGGGCACAGCACTGCTGGGGCCGGGGCTGTTTGGGGCAGCGGTGTGAGCTAGCCTGCACACATCCTTGGGCGGCAAGGGCTGGGAGTGCCCGTCCTTGGGGGGCCTGAGCGGGGCTGAGAGCTGGCGGGAGACGGCCTGCACATGGGGAGCGGAGCTGTGTCTTGGCTTCTTCATGTGCCGGAGCACCCACCAGAGACTTCTGAGGCCGCCCACAGTGCTGTGGGTGGTGTGTGAATTTGGCTTTCTGCACAGCAGTGGGTGCAAAGAGACTCTGAATTGTCATCAGCACTTTCATTACCTTAATAAAATTACTTCAGGTCTGTTAAGTTCTTTTGCAGAAAAACAAGACATAATTGCATGTTTCATTAGCTTCTCCTTCCCCCGAGCCCCAAAAGAGCTCAGCCCCTGAGTCTCACTTCCATGGCTGTTCATGAAATCCACGTCGAAGGGCTACGGGATCTTCTCCAACAGCCTGGACCAGGTGCCGCTGGTGAGGAGCTGGTAAATTCTGCTTGGCACGGAGCTTCTATCAGGATGGTCCCTCTCCCTCTTTCACCCTCTTAGCTTTGACAGATACTAAGGAGTTATTCAGAGCTACAGTCTTTTTTGAATGTTATATTGTCAAAGCTTTTCTTCTGTAAGAGGCAGATTCTTACCTAAACTCACCCACTCTACAGAAATAGCAGTGATAATAAGCCTGAAATGAGGAGATTAAGAACTGGTATTCTTTTTACCCCAGGGCTGCTGTTCAACAAGGGTTTCCAGCATTATCCACCATGCCTTACACTCTCATCAGAGGCTCTGTTCAAGTACTGTTAGCTTTGCACACCCTTGGGAGTTGTCCTGTTCAGGCCTGGATGGTCACAGTTCGGAGTCAGAGGCAGCATGTAGACCAACACAATCCAGATTTAACATGCTTTGGGCTAATTGGAGTTAGTTGCAGTGCATGCTTTGCTTTGAAACCTTGTATTTTATCACATAGCATCTCTGATGTGAAGTGATAAATTGGGGAAGGTCTTTCCTGTCCTCAGCTGTAACTTGGTAAGAGCTCAAAGATCCTTTGCAAAGCTCATTGGCACAGGAGATACAAGGACTGTAGAGATCAAGAGAAAATTGCCTGGAAGTTGATGTGAGATGCTACTGGATGGTCTTGGAGCAGATGGTTGGATTAATGGGCTCATCAGATCTTAAATTCTCTAAAGATTCCTGCAATAGAGATGAAGGCCATTCCTACAGCTGGGGTTTGGGAACAGTCCATAGTATAAACAGAGTGGTATCTCCTAGACAGCAATATTGCTTCACTGGGGGTGTCTGCTAAGCTTCCTGTTTCGGTATCTGCTGTGTGCCATCTCAGGAATATGCAAACCTCCTGACAAGCATAATTTCTTTTCCTCTAACAGCTTCTGGCGTGGCTGTAATAATTGGCTCCACCTTAAAATCAAGGTGGATGCTGCACCCTCTAGCAACCGAAGTTGATAGCAACGATGCTTGTGCTGGACTTCGAGGGAAAAGTTGCTGCTGTAGAGATCCTTGGATTCTTCCTTTGCTGTTCGGTCACTGCCTGCCTGATACCGTGCAAAGATCCCGGTCTCTGAGAACATGGATTTCGGAAGAGTTGCAGAGAATGAGAATGTAAGTACTCTGACAGAGCACATGCAGCATCTTGCTAATGAAAATATAAGTATGAAGGTCTGCAGCCCTTTCCCAGGTCATGAAACCAGTGGTCCCCAAATTGCAGGAGGAAAATGGCAGCTGAAAATCCCATCTACAATCTTTTCAAGCTCTGAAAAACTGGATATGCTGTGCTCTTCCACTAGCACTGCGGTGGTAGAACAGCATGGGGCAGAGGAGGGCTCTGCTGGCTGGCATGGGCTGTGGGAGCTGTTGCGTGTCTCTAGGTACAGCTGCAGGATGGGAATGAGAGGCTGTACCCGCTCAGAGACCTGCAGGAGAGGATGGGGAAACCGGCTGGCTCCAAAACAGATTTGTCAGCCAGAGTAGTCTTCAGTGAAGAGGAAAAACTGAAGGTAAAACAAATACTTCGGGAGTTGGAGAGAACTGAGCCATGAAGCCATATGAAGCCAGTAGATCTGCAGCGGAAAATCTGGTGGGAAACGTTGGGGCCTCTTTCTAGGGGGGTGTGTGTTGTGCCTAAATTCCCCGTTGTGACCTGCTGAAACAGTATGTGGGCCTCAGAATTAGCCCATGGCCTTTATAATGTCCCTTCTTTCTCCTAGATTTCCAAAGAGCTGGTCGATCTCCAGATTGAGACAAACAAAATGAAGGAGCAGTATGAGATGGAGAACTTTGAACTGAAAAATACGGTATCAAAAAGTTTGAAATAGCCAGTTTCCGCTCTGCCAATACCTTTATCCAGAACTGCAGTCATGGTTCCATCTTTACTTTGCTTGGTATATTGTCCTGGCTTTAGCTAGAGCAATGGATTCCCACCCCCTGCCCTGCCCCGATGCCCCAGATACTATGACATTTGCATGAAAATCATCTCTTTTTAAGTCATAGCGTGCCAGAACCCGGTTGGCAAAATAAATGCCCTGTGATTGCTGCTGGTCTCTGCCACAGTCTAATTCTGCTGCTTCCCCTCTGCAGATCCTGGTCCTGGAGAACCGTGTGCTGGAGCTGGAGCACTGCAGTGAGAAGGTCACTGGGGAGCGAGATGCCTTATGGGAACGCCTGCATGCTCTGGAGACCAGGCGGAAGGAGCTGGCAGACGAGTACATCATTTTGAAAAGCAATTACCTGGCCCTAGGCAAAGAATTGGACCAGGAGGTGAGACAGGCTGCAGTGTTTGTTCTGGTGTTCTCGACTCCATCTCACAATTACCGGATCTACAGACAGCTTGGTTGGCTTTGGGCTGTGTATCCACGTCACAGCTCCAGTAAGGTCTGTCAGCTGTGAGAGAGCATGGCTTGGGCATGGGGTTTTTTGGGGGGCCCAGGGATTTCGTGTAACATGGTCACCTTCTAGCAGAGCTTGCAGAACCTGCTCTGCTCAGCAGGGACAGTGCTGAGCCCACGCTGACCCATTCCCGCTGTCAGAGTTTTTCTCTTTTCACGCCATCCCAGATCCCCAGCAGGCACTAGCAGTAACGAGGAGGTCACTGCGGGGCTGGTCTGCATGCACGTTGCAGGTCCCTCTTGACTGCCATCACGCTTTGTTTCCCTTTTTTTCTGCATGGCTTGCGCAGGCTGCATGAACTGATTGTAGTTGCTCTCATTTCGTATGGCGGTGGGAAGTTTTTGAGGTCAGCAAGTTTATTAAAACACTGAATGTAAGCAAGCTTCTGATTGTTCCTTAAAATATAGTAAATGTCCTGGTGACTGTTAGCTTAGCAATTATGAACTAAAGTCTTTTGGACCCAGATTCATGTGTTTCTTTGGCAAGGATAGCTACTTCAATAGACCTTCCTCTCTTCCCTCCCTCTCCCTCTGCCTTGCTTCTTCTTTTTGAATTGGATTGAATGACTGACACCCTCCTGCCTCCCTCCCCCAGCAGATAGTTTAGCTGGTTCAGCCAGATGACCTGGTTTACCATGGTGGTCCCGTGCAGAGCTGTGATGGGAAGATGTGGGGCTGGGACCAGGCATGCTGGTTTCAGCAGTCTTCAGTCTGTCTTTATGGTGAGCATTGGTCTGCAGAGCTCCGGGAGAGGAGGATACGAGATGATGATCATCCTGTTGCAAATAAGCGAGTCAGTGACTCTTGCGAAGCTATCGTTTGTCTCCCATAAGCTGAGAAATGGAAATTTCTCACAAGAAGGCAAGCTCAGCTGCTCGCAGGGGTGTGAACCTACCCTGTCATCCTGCCCGAGCATGAGGCAGAGCGCATGCGGCCGGCAAAGCAGCACGCTGCTGAGACACAGTACTGCCAGGCTCACAGAGGAATAGCTCGGTGTTTGGCAATCTTGGCTGCTTCTTGTCCCCAAGGGAGTGCGATATGTTTGTCAAAAATTGGCTTTTCAGGTGGCTGATGTCTCTAAATGATGGGTTTAGCAGGTTAGCAGTAATAACACACTGTTTTCACATGGATCCTGGAATGTTTCAGAGAGTGAAAGCACATGAATTCAGTTCTGTGCCTGGAGAGCATCCTGAAGAAGTGGTGGAGCAGGGTCCAGAAGCCAAAGGCAAAGTCATTGGCTGTAATCGGTAGGCTGAGGGTTTTACCCCAGTTTCTTGGCTCTGACTACCGAATATCCCTGCCTGAAACGAAAGCGGCTCCAACTTGGCAGGCTGGGACTTGTCACGGCATGGGCCTCTTGCTCATTATTTTCCCAGTGTGGACTTTCCCAAAGGAAATGGGAAAAGCAGCCTGCGGTTCTGCCCCCTCCCCTTCCCCGGCACTCTTCTGGGGAGACAATGAACCTTTTACACGTTCCCAATTACAAGTGCTACTTGTGACCTTGCCAATATGTTGTCATGGCTGCTTGGCGCAGAAGCAGCTCGGCGAGCTCATTCACAGTCCCTTGTACAGGAACAGTTAGAGCCTCTGAATTGTCGCGGCCCCCATTGTATGGCTGGATTCACACATCACCCTGTGTCTGTCCCAGGCGCAGGAGCGCGGCGGAGCTAGCCTTGCCTGTCCCTGGGGAAGTGCCTTCCAGAAGATGCCAGTCAGGCACTTTGTGCCTGTTTTCTAACTCGTTGTAAATTATTCCTTTTCAAGACTCTGACCTTTTCTCGACTCTCCGTTTCCTCCTCCTCTTTTGTTGGGCAGCCTTACGCCGTCTGCAGTGGCGATGCAAAGTGAGGCTCTCAGAGGGAACTCAAATGGCTGCGAACCAGTTCCACGCCGGGGTTTTCCCTGGAGCCAGGCCAGGCTTGGGAGCGCAGGGGAGGCGGTGAAGCCCATCACAAACCTGGGACTGCCTCTTTCTTTCGCTAAGCTGGTACTTCTGCGCTTGTGTGACCCCCTCTGATCAAATTGTCAGGGCTGACAGCTGCAGATGGATCGTTTTCGGTTGGAGAACAAGCAGCCTATCTCTGCGTAGCTGTCAGTTTTCACAGCTGTATATCTCACCTCTTTGTCAGCCTCTTTTCTCCTCTCCTCTCTCCCTCAGCCCACCCTGTGCTATCTTTTGATAAGCTATTCTCTCCACGGATGACTCAGATGACCTCTGCCTCCCATCCTCCCGATTCACTGCCATGGTAACAATTACTCAAGCTTGTCCCCAGTCATAAACCCCATCAAAGCTTTGTTATCTACATAGAAACCCTCCCGTGAGACATGAATTCCCCCAGTGTTCCTCCCAGATCACCTGTAACAGAGCCTTTCTCATTCAGATCCTCTTTATCTTTTGGAAATGTGTCACTTCACACCAGCATCGCTTTGAATCTTCCTGCCTACACGGTGCTGTGGGCTGGCTGCTGCTGGAGGGATGCATTCAAACAAAACTGGAATTAGCTGGGTGGTGTCAGCCGAGATGGATGGAGATTTGGCCCTTCTCTTACATTGTGGAGTCCAGCACTGTTCAAAGCTATTGTGTGGGCAAAGACATGCCTGAAGTGCTGGGAAGCTGTGTGGAGGGTAGAGGGTCAGAGCAAGGAGGGAGGCTGGAGGTCAGAAGGGAGAGGGGGTGGCAGAGCTGGGCCCAGCACTGGGCTGGCACCGGGATCTGTATCTGAACGCAAGAGCGAGGTGGGCAGAGGGAGTAATGTTACACGTGAATAATCCTGCTGCCTGGCAATGATACCCTGTGTTTCCATGAGAATTAGAAAATCACTCATATCTTTGGACATACGAGAGAGAGAACTAAAAATAAAACTTGCTTTCAGGAGGGGGTGTGAGTGCCCACCTTGTGTACACAGCAAGAGCAGTATGTGCTGAACAGACAGCGTGCAGAGCTGGAGAGGCAGGATTTCAGAGGTCTTTCCTTCTTGTTTGACCTGGCAGGTCATGAAGAATGAAGAGCTCAGCCTAGAGCTGCTCAACCTGGCCAATGCCAGGAGCATCCTTCCCAACACAAAGAGTGACCGCTCCCCTGGCATGGCCAACGAATCCTCTGCCGAGCTGGAAAGAGCGAGAGCAATGGTGTATCATCTCTCTGCTCGGAAAGTGAAGGTAAGGACCTCTCTGCCCTCTCACCAGCTCCTTTGAGAACAGTAGCCTAACAGGCACCTTCTTCTGTCTCTTATTAAAAGCAGCCAGAAGATGCAGTTGCCTCTGAACATGAGCAGCAAAAGCTGGAGAGAAACGTGAGTGTGTGGGGATCTGCTGCTGGATCCTTGGGAAAGCAGAGGGGGAATTTATACTGACTGTGGCTGGCACCTCCTGGTGCTAACTTGAATTTTGCGGACAAACTGATGCCTTGATTTTTTTTTTTTTTTTTTTAAGCTGTGCAGTTGAAAAATGAGACTAGAATAACTGTAGATCTTGTGCAGGCAAAAGCTGAGAGAGGGCAGCTGTGGTGCCCGCGATCAGTGCCCCTGGGTGAACAGAGGCAGGTGTTTAAAAGCCAACAAGTGCAGAGGACACTTCCTTATTTTCTTCTTGCTGATATTTGAGAAAGACGGAGGTGATAAAGCACCCAAAACTGAGAGCACAGAGATGCTCCCGGCCTCCTTTCCATCTGCAGCCTGTGCGAAATCAGCTTGGGCTCCACCACCAGCTCCTGCTGGGAATCTGACTCTCGGTGTGAGAAATTCCCTTGGGAGAGCAACACGTGCATATCCATGTGCCCTGTCCCCAGGTCAGACACTGCTTCTGGTGTGCTACAGAGCACTGGTTGCTCCCAGTTAAACCTGTCCTTTTCCCAGTATGTCACTGCTCAGCTGGACTTGTGCACAGCTGGAGGCTCTCCTCACTTCTTCCCCATTCATGAGTCCCTCTCTTAGCTCAGCCCTCTGTCTCATCAACCTCTTCATTTGTCCCGCAGTTGCTTGGAAACCAGGATCACATAAAAGTGGAGCTTGAAAAACTGAAGAAAACCTATGATTCGCAGCAGCAGAAGCTGGAAGAGAGAGTGTGAGCGTTTGAGGGCACGTCCTTCTGTTTGGCTGGACATTTATGGAGCTCCTTGCAGCTGAATGATCCTTGGGAACAGGAGAGGAGGCAGCCTGGCATTGGTGGGGTACAGGGGGGGAAAAGATGATTCAATCTTGGATGAAGTGAGGCCTGGAAGCAAAAACTGATGTTTTCAAGGCTCTTAAGAGGGTTAGCTGTCTGCATAAAAGTTGGTGGTGTTTAGGTACCCAACTGGCCTATGCACCTTTACAAATCCACTTTCTGTGACACACACAGCAAATGTGGGACAGCCCAGGGCTGAATCCAGCCCCAGCCCTTACCCCCACAGCGGCTTTTCCATCGACAGGCTGGGATGGGGTCGGTGTTCCGGCAAAGGCTGCCACAGCAGGGACGCCGCAGGACCAGACCCTCTGACTGGGGAGGACATTCAGCTTTGGTTGCAAGAGTTCTGTGGCCGCTGCTTGGCACACATCTGGGGACTGGCAGCTGCTGCTGAGAGATTTCTGTCATCCCGTAGTGATTTCCTTCTCAAAGCTGCCTGTATTGGACGTACAGAGAAGTTTGGGCGTTAAAATAAACATGTCTTCTTCCTGTGTGTCCAGGATTGCGATGGGGAAGGAGCTGCAGGAGGCGAAGGGAGCGACTGGGGACACCCAGCAAAAGCTGGCGGAGCAGTCAGCGGTAAGGGCAGGCTTCCTTCCAGCCCCTGGCACCCAGGCTCCAGGACTGCCCCTGCTCATCCGCTCCTCCTGGGTGCCATGCCCTTCTCCTGGAGCTAGCAGGGGGTGGGTGTCTTCTATCAAGGCACTCCGACACATCTCCCTCTCCAGGGAGTTTTTCATACCAAGGTGCTCTTCCCTGTGCAGTTTCCTTCTCCAGGGGTGGAAGGCACACGGTGGAAGGTGCTGCTTGCCACAGGCGGTGGGAGGAATTTTGTGCACTGATATTTAGAAAGAGTTGGGGAAATCAGAGCCGGGGTGGGGGGGATTTACAAATTACAGAAGGTAGCAGGGGAATAGACACTCTCAGCGTTTCCAGTGGTCTCCTGAGAAAACCCAGGACCTTGCCAGCTCTAGGGAAGCTGAATGAAGGAAATGAATTCCCCCATCTCTTATGGAGCTTCTCAGTGTCCCTTGCTTGGCCGAAGGACGATGGCAGCAACGAGCCTGTTTGCTGTGTCTAGGTGCTGCTCACCTCCCAGAGCCAGCTCCAAGAGGTGGAGGCGGAGAACTCCCAGCTGCAGCTCCAGCTGAAGGAGCTGAACGAGGAATATCGCTCCCGGCTCACGCAGTACATCAAGGACGTGGCGGTGGGTACCCCCAGCCCCAGGGGCTCTCCGGATCTGGGGAGGTCTCTCCATGCTGGCTGGCTGCCTGCTTCTTGCTGGACTGTGGAGCAGAGCAGGCAGTGGGGCTTGGGGAGCCACCATTGCAGCTGGAAGGGGGCTCTGTGCCCTCGGCTTGGCCTGGGGAGGAGATGCCAGCCCCACTCCTCGCACAGATTTCCTGTATGGCCACACGAAACGGTCTGTGAGTTTCTGCTGGGACTTTTCTTGGTCAGATTACTTGGATTGAAAGATCCTCTCATTTACTACAGCTGCCTTCCAGTTGGCTTCTAATCTCCACTGCCCTGACAACTTCCTTTGGCAGGCCAGGCAATGCCACTTCTGGCTTTGTTGCTGCCTCCATGGTGACTCTGCTGCTGTCCCCACAGGGAGCTTTGCCAGCCTCCGCGGTTGGCTACAGAGCCCTGTAACACCAGTGCCTGGGACCCATTTGGCAAATAAGCACCTTTGATGTACAGTAGAGCTTACAGAGCATAGAATCATAGAATTGTTATGG